GCGAGTTGGGAAAAGAACCTCTTCCGGGCTCCGACCGGCAGTGTTGGCAAAGAGTTTGTTCGGACACTCACGTCAGAACTTCAAAAGTTCAATTCGTCCCGAGGAGCGGAAGCCACTGCTCTATATCGTTTCTTCCTGCTTCCAGCGTTGGTGCTCCAGCGAGTAGGTCGGAATTGCCCTGCCGCAGAGTGCTCTGACCACACTCGTCGCAGACTAAATTTATGGATCCAGGGTTCCTATATGGAGCTAGTGCAGGAGGGTCGAACTATTCAGCATATGCTCAAGACATCGCAGAATCGGAGATCCAGGCGTGGCGAAGACCCTGCTCATGAGTTTGGCCACTTGATGGAACAGGGCCGAGTTCACTGCGCACTGAGAATGCTGGATAATGCAACCAAGCCCAAGTGTGATAAACCGGTCTTGGGCATGGACGACATCATTTCTGATTCTCATCAATCCCAGTCAGTCCGTGAAATTCTCGTCGGGAAGCATCCGGGGTCGGCACCGGCAGCACCGGACATCCTGCTTCAGGAGGAGGCGGGCAATGTCAGCAGTATCTACTTCGCCAGCGTCAATGGTGAGTTGATCAAACGCACTGCCCTTTCTCTGCACGGTTCTGCGGGTCCTTCCGGCCTGGACGCGGATGCTTGGCGGCGGCTATGCACATGTTACAAAGGTGCATCTACTGATCTGCGTGAGGCAGTGGCGTGCTTCACACGCTTGATCTGTACCGACTCAGTCCCCTCCGGCTCACTCACACCGTACACAGCTTGCAGACTCATTGCCCTCAACAAGAACCCTGGCGTTCGGCCAATAGGGGTATGTGAAGTGTTTCGTAGACTGTGCTCCAAGGCGGCATTGTTTCTGATGAAACCCGACATTATGCAAGCCTGCGGACCAGTTCAGGCCTGCACGGGCATCCCGGCTGGGGTGGAGGCTATGGTGCACTCAATGACGGCTGCCTTTGCTTCGGAAAAGGCTGAGGCAGTGTTGCTAGTCGATGCTCGCAATGCCTTCAATAGCTTGAATCGCCGCGCTGCATTGCACAATATTGCTCGAGTATGCCCCCCGCTAGCACAAATAACATTGAATACTTACCAAGACCCTGCATCCCTCTTTGTGCGTGGTGGCCAGTCTTTATTGTCACAGGAGGGCACAACCCAGGGTGACCCTCTTGCGATGGCCATTTATGCCACGGCTCTCACCCCTCTCGTCAAGTCAGTCGGAACCAATGTTGCAGATGTGTGCCAGGGATGGTTTGCAGATGACTCGGCAGCTGCCGGAGGGCTCTCCCCATTGCGAAAGTGGTACAACCTCCTTAAGGAAGAGGGCCAAAAATACGGCTACAACATCAACGAAACAAAAACGCAACTACTCGTCAAGCCTGGCTTTGAGTCCTTGGCTGCCGAGACTTTTGGTGACACAACTATCCACGTCAAGTCTCGTGGCGTACAGTATCTGGGCGCTGCTATCGGGACTGAGGCATTCCTCGGAGAATTCAAAGAGACAAAAGTAGAAGAGTGGGTGAAACATACAGAGATTTTGGCAAATTATGCCGCATCAGAGCCGCATGCAGCATACTCTGCGTTGACCCATGGCTTAGTCAACAGATGGAACTATGTGTTTCGAACTATGGCTGTTTCTGCGGAGGACTTGGCGCCGTTGGAGCGGGAGCTTCACTCCTCACTTCTACCGGAGCTCGTGGGACAACCGAGCGTGCCTCTGAAAGACATTGATATTCTAAAGCTCCCGACACGGGATGGTGGGATGGCCCTTCCGGACCTCACGACTCGACCACGGTTTGAGCACCAGGGCTCCAAGCAAGTGTCCGGACCTATGGTGAAGGAGGTTCTGGGCGATTTCGCTAAGGATAGCGATCCAATTTCTCTCGCTGGAGATGTGCCGGCTTCTGCAGATACTGCTGACCGTGGTGGAGCGTCTCCCACTCCCACGATGACGGCAACGGAGGTGCAGCCGCGGGAGGTCGCTGGCAACTCAAACCCTGGACCGGATGTGGCTGCTGATGTTGCTGGTGCTGGTACCCCCTTTCAGAGGATGATCGATGAAATGCGTCACAAAAAGCGTGTCGTCCACACCGAAAACCGGGAGCGCGCAAAGGCAGCCAGGAACAAAATAGTGGACACGAGCGATGAGATGACGAAGCGACGAATAGAAGAACACACGGAGAAAGGATCATCCTCATGGCTGAGCGTGCTGCCCCTGGCGGAGCATGGCTTTCGTCTCACCAAGCGTGACTTCCGGGATGCTCTGGCATTGAGATATGCATGGCCGCTAGCCAATACACCAGCAACCTGTGTGTGTGGTGAGCTGTTCTCAGTTGAGCATCAGCTATGTTGCGCCAGGGGCGGCTTCCCGACACTTCGTCATAACGAGATACGTGACCTGCTGGCGAGGGAATTGACTGAAGTCTGCACAGCCGTTTCGACAGAACCAGCGCTGCAACCTCTTTCTGGTGAGAGGTTTCCTCTTCGGTCAACGAACCGCCGAGAGGATGCGCGCCTGGACATAGCCGCTCGAGGGTTTTGGACCCGTGGGGAGGAAGCTTTTTTTGATGTAAGGGTATTTTGCCCAGATGCTCCTTCCTACGGGTCCAGAACCCTTCCTGCATTGTACCAGCAGCACGAGCGGCGTAAGTGGAACGAATATGGGCCAAGAGTCACAAATGTAGAAAGAGCCGCTTTCACACCTCTCGTGTTCTCTGTGCATGGTGGTTGTGGGAGGCTGTGCAATGTGTTCCTCAAGAGACTGTGCCAGATGCAGGCCGAGTCATCGGGATCTCACTATTCCCAGGTCATTGGTTTACTCCGCTGTCGGCTGTCTTTTGCTTTGCTGCGTGCTGCTGTGTTGTGCATACGTGGGGCTCGGTCACGGTACCACCATCCGGCGAGATGTTTTCATGATGTCTCGATTGCCGTGGCCGAGTCAGGTCTAGTTTGTTAAGTATCGTGCTGTGTCCTGACTGTGCATGTGGGATTGGTATGGCGCTTACCCTTTTGTTGCTGTTTTGTTGCTTTCATGCCTTTAAGCATGTAATTGTGTTCAATTGTTGTATTTCATGGAAAAACGATCTTTGCGTTGGATTCATTTAAACTATTATTTGTGTAGGGTTCCACTCCTTCATCTTGGGAAATTGTGTTTTGTTTGCCCAAAGAAGTGGCTTCATCATCATCAAAAAAAAAAAAAAAAAAAAAAAATCATCATCATCATCATCATCATCATCATCATCATCATCATCATCTTCGTCGTTGATGGGTTACTATCGCTGTCGGGTGTCTTTCGCACTGCTACGTTCCGCTGTGTTGTGTGTCAGGGGTGCTCGGTCGGCCCGTCACTGTCCAGTTCACATGCTTCGTGAGTTGGCGATGGTGGAGGGTTGGGTTCCCCTGCCGTGATTAGTGCTGCACCGAGCTTGTTTTGTGTGAAAGTATATTATACATGTAATTATTATTATTATTATTCTTATATTTATACTTCAAGTATTACAAAATAATTGAGAGGCTTTGAATCGTTTCTATCAAAATCTAAATATTTGCCGGGTTGGAAGGTAGGAATCATCACAAGCCCATAGCCCTAAGGTCGTCACAGAGCAAGTATGAACAAGCGACCGCCATAAAAATCCATCGCGTGCAGCAGCGAGCAGGGACTGCACGTCAAGTGCAGTCCATGAAATATTATTATCAAGCCATGACATTCTGGGTCTGCCTCGGCCACGACCTCCAGCAACACAGCCCTGAAGAACAGTCAATGACAAACAGCCGGAACGAACAATATGACCAAAAATTGCAATTTCCTTTTACGAACAGAAACAATAAGTGGGACTTGTTTGTGAATACTATTTATTTCCTCTCTAACAGACACATTCGTCCGGTGATCAGTGAACGGAATCCTGAGAAGGCGTCGATAGCTTCTCATTTCGTTTCATGTAGGGTGCAACACGCAATTCCCCCAGTATCGTAGTCATCACAACAACCTCTTCTTGACATTGTTCATTTTTGGTTGATGATATTTCCGAATGCTCTCTCTCTCTCTCTCTCTCTCTCTCTCTCTCTCTCTCTCTCTCTCTCTCTCTCTCTCTCTCTCTCTCTCTCTCTCTCCATATTATGAGAGACAGAGAATTCTGAAAATATAATCAACCAAAATGAACAAAATTCTTTTTAAATATATTCTGATGAAAAATATCCACAACTGTCACCAAAAGTGAAAGAGTACTGTGCTGCGTGCAATTTCCTGTGTCTTTGGTTAATTTTGTGTGTACGTGTACTTGTGTGTCTGTCCGGGCATGTGTACATGTGTGTGTGTGTGTGTGTGTGTGTGTGCCAGCTAGTTTGGTTGGTGGGTACACTTATGCCAGATAGTGTTGGGCCTGTTGCCAACGGGCTCGGCTGCTTGAAGGTGTATTGTTGTACCTACCACCTTTGTTGGTTTCAGGGTTCATATACTTTCTATTTGAAGTATACATACCTGTTAACCATGGACTGCTTCTGGCTAGATTAACTCTTGTGTAATCAATGGTGCTAGTGAAGCTTATATCAGATCCACTCTGATTTAGCCACCCACGCTAGTACCAAGTATTACCTTCACTGGGGGCAGGGGTACCTGCAGTTGGATCCCGGGACGGATACCCTGATGCCGTCAATCCTTTTTTCTGCACCTTGTCCTCACCCACTTACTGAGGTGTGGTGAGCCCATAAGTGGGATCATTTCAAGTCCACCCTAGTTTGGGGATTTCAGGGGGTGTCGGCCGTTGGGTGGTTCAATGGCCAATTGAGTCATCTTTCCAAGATTCCTTTTGAGTCTCTCTCCCCTCTCCCGGGGAGACCCACGTGACCAGTTTTGGCAGTGAGCAAGTACAAGTGTGTGTGTGTGTGTGTGTGTGTGTGTGTGTGTGTATGTGTGTGTGTTTGTGTGTGTGTGTGTGTTTGTGTGTGTGCGTGTGTGTGTGTGTGTGCGTGCATATGTGTTTGCACCTTTTCCTCTAGACACCAGTTAAGTCGTCTGATCTCCTTATTCAAGACTGGGGGCTATTTGTCGACGGGCAGTGTCTTGCTGAAGCTGCATCTCTTGTTAAACAATACCCTGGTATGAAAAGGAACAGAGCTATCGAAAAGAGTTGCTACAATGCTTTGACGTATTGTTGCAGGGACCTTGGAGTGTTCCCTGAGTATCAGATACTTGTTAGCCGGGTAAGTGCATTGTGTGTGTGTATGTGTGTGTGTGTGTGTGTGTGTGTGTGTGTGTGTGTGTGTGTGTGTGTGTGTGTGTGTGTGTGTGTGTGTGTGTGTGTGTGTGTGGCAGTTGGTTGTAGTTGTAGGAGTCAGTTGTGCTTTTTGGAGCTCTGACAAGGAGGATGTAGCTGCCTTCAGCAGCCATGCGCCGTGTGGTGTAGACCAGGCCATGGCTGTGGCAGCCCGTCTCAGTGAATTTGCGCTTCACTGGGAGTTTTTTGACACGCAATAGGGAGGTTTCGCTCTACGGAATTACGTATGAAAATAACGTAGGAACCGCACGTAATTTTCATACGTAAAAATCAGAGCTGTTGGGTTTCGCTCTACGTGATTTCTCCACGACTGCTAAACAGGCCTAGTTGCTTGGAGACGCGTTGGCTGCATGCGCCCACCGCATGCACTACGAACCGAAACCGCGTTTTCCATCTTATTTTGCACGTGGTGTACGGTGTGTGTACCTTGTGTTTCGCGCGGCTTGAACTTTGCCCTGGATAAATCCGGAAAATTCGAAAAAATATTTCAAAAAGTCCTACGGAGGACCCAACGTAGGAAAGAGCTTTCCTACGGAGATCCGTAGAGAGATTTACGTATGAAAGTTGCCCTCGCTCCCCGGCGCGTACGACATACGGATTTTCATACGTAATTACGTAGAGCGAAACCTCCCTAATAGCACAAGCAGGAGATGCAGTATAGTTCGAACGAAATTTGAATTTTCGAAATTGAAGATGAAGGCGAAGAGAAAGTTGGGACGGCGGAGGCTTCTTGTCGCGAGCTGGAATGTGCAGTCACTAGTTGAGAGCACAGGAGATGCTCGGATTTGCCGTAAGGTGCCATCTGCTGCTAAGCGAGTCGATCGCGGCTTGGATTTCTTGTCGGAGGAATTACGAAAATTTGAAATTGGTGTAGCTGGTATACAAGAAACCAAGTGGTTTGGAAGTGATGTCTGGCCTGTCGGCGCTTGCACTTTTGTTCATTCCGGGAGGCCCTTTCCGGCCGACGGTGAAACAGCTCGGCGTGACGAGGGCGTTGGGATTTGGATGGGGCCTGACATGACATCGCCCTGGAGGAGAGGCGGCGAACAGTGGAACGCGATCAGTTCACGTATCGCCACAGCTCGCTTTCTAGTCGGCATGAAGGGAGACAAGCTCCAGCGTGGTGGCCAGCGATATTCTGACCAGTATCTGACAATTGTAAACGTGTATGCACCAACTAGCAAGGCGACTCGAGCAGTGAAGGATAAATTCTTTCGAGACTTGCAAGATGCCCTTCATCATGTGAACAAAAATGATGTCATGGTCCTTCTAGGAGATTTCAACGCTCGCGTCGGTTCATTGTCACTTGCAGATCCTTCTGATGAGCGCCCACTGTGGGACCAGGTACTAGGACAGTTTGGCCTCGGTCAATGCAACCAGGCTGGGGAAGATCTGCTGTCTTTTTGTGCCAGGAACTCTCTCTGCGTAATGAACACCTGGTTTCGCAAGAGACCTTTTCGGCGCGGCACTTGGACACACCCTGCGACACGACAACAGCATCTGATTGACTATGTCATACTACGACAAGACCAACGTGTATTCTGTCAGGATGTTACGGTGATGCGCGGTGCATCGTTCTGGACGGATCATTGTATGGTGCGGAGTAAGCTGGCACTGGATTTCTCCCGCCCACGCAAGTCGCAGTCAGCTCCACGCCGACTGGCGGTGCACAACCTGCATGATAGTGACATCCGGAAGGAATTTCAGACCAAGCTGGATGATGTGCTTGGAAATGGTCCTGGCCTGCAGCAAGAGTCACCTGGGGATGACACCATTGACTCGTCTTGGTCTCGCGTTCGTGATCCGCTTATATCGGCTTCTTCATCAGTCCTGGGATATAAGCGCCGTGCCCAGCCGGATTGGTTCCTTGAGAGTCGTGATGAGCTGGAACCGCTCATTCAGGAGAAGAACAAACACCACCAGATCTTGCTAGCCAATGACACCCGCCAAAACCGTCAGGTCTTCAGGAGACACCAGCGACTTGTTGCAAAGGCAGTGCGGGATGCAAAGGACAGATGGGTCATGAAGACTGCGCGTCATGCAGAAGAGGCCAAGAAAGATGGTCGTACTCGGTGGCGCTGCATAAACATGTTGCAGGGTGTTCATGTCGGGAGGAAATCAACTGCTACATCATCTGTTCTCGATGAGAATGGGAATGCTACGCCAGATATTGACTCTACCCGAGCCAGATTCGGTCGGCATTTCGAGCGTGTTCTGAATGTTCCCTCGGAGTTTAATGCTGATGTTGTGAATTCCATGCCGGAGCTGGAGGTGCGAGAGGATCTAGATACTGTACCAGCATTTGAGGAACTCCAACATGCCTTAGGTAACATGAAGCGAGGCACTGCAGCTGGTCAATCTGGCATCCTCCCGGAACTTGTGCTTTGTGGAGGTGAAGTTCTTCAGCGTCGCATTCATGAGCTGATGGTGCAGGTATGGTCATCTGGATGCGTCCCCGGTGATTGGCGAGATGCGCAAATTGTCCCCATCCCCAAGAAAGGTAATCTTCGCGTGTGTGACAACTGGCGTGGCATCAGTCTGCTGGACGTCGTAGGCAAGCTGTTCGCGCGGATCATCCAGGATCGTCTTGAGGAGATCGCCGAGGACATTCTGCCGGACACGCAATGTGGTTTCCACAAGGGACGTGGCTGCTTAGATATGGTTTTTGTTGCTCGGCAGTTTGTGGAGAAAACCATCGAACAGCTTGTGGAGAAAGCCATCGAACATGAGTCGAACTTGTACGTCCTTTTCGTAGACTTGCGAAAGGCTTATGACTCTATCCCCCGTGCTGGTTTGTGGTTGGTCCTGGAGAAATGCGGTGTTCCTCCAAAGATGTTGTCATTGATCCAGTCTCTGCATAATGGTATGCTCGCCCATGTTCGTGTCGACAATGGCAGGTCGTCGGAATTTGAGGTCCGCAATGGTTTGCGTCAAGGATGCACACTTGCTCCTATTATGTTTAACATATATTTCGCAGCTGTTGTGGCCCACTGCCACTGGCGGTCGATCTCCGCTGTTCCTGGCTTTCCACTGCGCTATCGTTTGGGTCGCAAGCTCGTCGGCGATCGCACAACCAAGAGTCGCCTTGAGCACCTTGACGTCACTGAGTCACAGTTTGCCGACGATGCCGCACTGTACACCACCTCACATGAGAATCTGTGCACTATGGCCAATGAGTTCATCTCATGGGCGTCTGACTGGGGCCTGACTGTCAGTATCACCAAGACCAAGGCAATGTCGGTTGGACCAGGTCGAGTATGTGCAGATCTCCCTGTCCTCGGTGGTGATGACGTCATCAGTTGCCAGGATGATTTCACCTACCTTGGAAGCAACATCAGTGGGGATGGTCAGCCGGATCATGAAATCGCATCCCGTTTGGCAAAGGCATCGCGTGCGTTTGGCAGCCTAACGAACCCCATCTTCCGCAACACGTCACTGTCTCTTGGGACACGGCGCTATGTGTACCAAGCTTGCGTCTTGATGGTCCTGTTTTATGCATCAGAGAGCTGGACGTTGAAGGCCCCGCAGCTACATCGCCTGGAGGTATTCCATCACCATTGCATCCGAGTGATTCTGGGTGTGTCTCGGGACCAGCAGTGGCAGGATCGCATTTCTTCTGAGGAACTAGCCCGTCGTTTCGATATGCCGTCGTCAATGGCGGAGGTCGTACGCTGTCACCGCTTACGCTGACTTGGCCACCTTGGGCGAATGGAGGATTCTCGTCTCCCCAAGCGCGTTCTATTTGCCGAGGGACTCAACACAAGGCCCAGACACGGTCCCAAGAAACGTTGGAGGGACATCGCCGCTGCTGATCTGAGTGCTCGGTGCATGACAGGTGACTGGTGCGTATTGGCGCAGGACAGATGAGACTGGCGCCTCGTGTGCAATCGTCCCCGACCGGCTGTGCCAAAGCCTAGAGTGTTCATTTGCGGCTGTGGCAGGGACTTCCGTCGGCCCAACGATCTAACTCGCCACAGGAAATACTGCAACTCCTGATGCTATCATTGCACGGAGCAATGGGCATCCAAAGGTCCAAAGGTGTATGTGGAATTTAAGCCTAGTTCACATTCGACGGTGCGCGCGACGGGAACCTTCGGGACTGTCTGCCGTACGGATCGGGAAGCGACAGGAAGAGTTGAGGCTGTTCTACTTTCCGTACCGTATGCGGGAACGCAAGCGTACAAAACGGCTGCATTCGAGTGTGAACAGGGGACGATGTTGTGCACCGACTCCTCCCGATTCGTCCTTGGAATTTTTTAGCATTTCAAATAGGGGTGAAACAATTAGTTCGAATATTCGAGTATTCGTTCGAAAATCTCAAACGAGCGAGTATTCGAAATTTTGCACTCGATCGGTTTTTTTTTTTTTTTTTTAGTACTGGCATTCTATTTTTCAAAAACTCCTGTAGTACTGCTCATCGACTGGTATGCACGCATTATTCGTGCCTTTGAGTCAGTATTTTATGACTTGGACGATGCGATCACCACGGCAAGTAACGTTATTTTGTTTTGAGATAATGAAAGTACTGGTGAAAATCGTTACTTTACACTCTGTACAAGACGTTGGCGACTTTTGTTCTATGTTCACAGATAATTTCTTCCGAATTAGTCGAGAACTCACAAATCTAGCGCTTTTGAATTCCGATAAAATACTCGAAATAATCGGATACTCGATCGAATATTATGAATGAGTGATCGGTTGGTCAAAATAGATACTCGTTTCACCCCTAATTTCAAACACTACGCTTCCCATAATAACTCACCGAATGGCTAACACGACGCGAGTTGAATTTCAGCAAGATAAGATTTCATGTGACTTACTGTATTAGCAAGAGTAGATAAACAAGAGTGTGCAACTCGCGGACGGGTTGGCCCACGGCGGAATTTTTTGTTGACGTAATCTTTTCGACGACGCACGCGCTGCGAGCCTTTTGGAGAGTTTTCCCTCGTGCACTTGGCTGGGCTTTACACTACAAGGTCGGTGCCCAGCACGTGCTCTCACACTGCTCTGCGGCAAAGCCGCGTTTCTCTGAAAAAAGGTGACGTAAACAAAAAATTCCGCCGTGGGCGCGGGGTATCTGCAGATTGTGCAGGAGAGATCCGGAGTTGCACACTCTTGTTTATCTACTCTTGGTATTAGGGATAGCCAGGAGTGTGACAGATGAACTATTTTATCATTTCCTGTGGCTATTGTTAGAATGGCACAACTTTCAGGGCTATTTTTTTGGTCTTTATGAAAAACTGGTACAGTAAAACCAGTGACTATCGACCACCCCTTGGTGCCGGCAAAAGCGGTCTTTAGTGGCAGGTGGTCTTTAGTTAGAGGTTTGCACCACACGACCATATATCATTATAATTATGGATCCCAATATGATATGTATGTCAAAAATGCAGCTAATACATTTCCCCAGGAATTGCACAATGCCATTCTTATTTCAGGTCAAACAACACTTGGAGAGAGAGAGAGACGGAGAGATGAAGAGAGAGAAGATTAATTTTTGCAGACATCATATTCAGCTGCTGCTTCTGAAGCCAGGAATCAAAAGTTCCCTATGGAAGTTTCGTTTTGCGCTGGGCTTCAAATTTGTTCATGCGATCAGTTGTACCGACTGTCCTTGTTGTGACTTCTCGATTGCTTGAACGCGATCTGTCAGCATCAGGACCTTGCGGTGCTGCGTTGTTTCTGCATTCCTTGATGACATCCTCGATTCATCTGTATGAATGGGTTGCCAGAACCGCTCAATCGTGCTTGCTATTTGTCTCCTCTGTCTCTCCTAGGGTCAAGGTTCAAAAGGGTGAGAACTGCCAGTGAACTGAAACTCACGGTCCCAGACAAGACGCTGCAGAAGGACGCTTTATTGTATGGTGTGGTTTTGAGGAGTGACGGATTGAAATCCTAGTACAGTGTATTACCAGAGAGGAAGGCAGTTACCATGGTTACTGGATTCTGTTTGCTGTGTGACTTACTACTTTACCTGCTGTGTTTTTAGCTTACCTCTAGTATTTCATAGGGCCTTTTTATTCAGTCCGACTTCTTTGGGTACTATCATTGCGTTTTTCCACCTGCTAGTATTCCAGTGCTTCGAAGTAGTCCTGTGCATTCTAGTTCTTGCGTGAAACACGGCTAGTGCCGGCAGCACCAACAGTTCTCATGTGTCCTGCTGAATGTTTAAAAAAGTGTGTCCTTCATCGTAGACTGTATTTAAATTATGTGTGTAACTAGTTAGTTGATATCTCCCCGATGGTGATGTTCCTGATATCGCCTGCATACTGAAGCTGCCATAGTTGTGTCGAATGCTTCGTATTATCCTGGCCTACTGTACCTGCCAGCTCTGTGTGTTGCGAAATGGTGTTACTCTGGTGTGGGTAGTTTAATTTTGTGTGCCTGTATACGTGTATAAATGCGATGTCCGTGAAGTCTCTTTTTTTTGCTGTAGCTCCGGTGAACTGTTCTTTAATTTCTGTACACCCATTAGTTCTTCCTTGTGTTACGACAGGGCCCCAAGGCACCCTGTCGGGGAGCTGGGAGCTCTACCCTGAAGCAATTGAAAGGCTCGTGTTGTGTCTCCTTGCTGTCCTCGTATGCATGCATTGTTTGCGTAGGGGCTTCACTTGCTTCTGTGGGCCAGGCTAGCTGATGCACCCAGACAATGGGATCTGGATCGCAAGCTCGACTGTGTTAGTACTTTCATTCTTTCAAGCATTTCCTCTGTGTTTCTCGGAGTTCGGTGAACAAAACCTGGCAGTTCCAGTTGAACCTACCGTACTCAGAGGAGCAGTCTCATGTCAGCCTGAACTTTCTTACACTGTGGTAGCGAGATTCTGCTATACGTGAACCACGTAGAGAAATCACATCGAGGATAGGTGCCTGGGCAAATTTCTTGGTGCTTAGCTGATGCTAATCCTGCTGGGTCAGTGCATGCCCACACCCTCTTCCTTTCCTGCTGGATCAGTGTCCATACCCTCTCCCTTTTCAAGTTGCTTGCGCCACAGATCAGGTTTGCCTTCATCTCCCTGCTGCTGCCGTTGTTCCTGTTGTTGAGGAGGCATCATCCGTTGTGGAAAGTCTGAGGCAAAGGATGCAAGCTGTTCTGGGCTGAAGCCAAAGACTTGATCAGCAGCTGCGGTAGACGGAAGAGGAAGCAGCACCACCATCATCATCACCACCACCACCACCACCATGATCACCACCACCACCACAAGCACCACCACAAGCACCAGCACCACCACAAGCACCAGCACCGCCAGCACCAGCACCACCACCAGCAGCACATAGACTAGATGAGGGTCCTTGTGGTGCCGGTGTGCCTAAACAACACCGTGGACCGTGGACCGTGGACCGTCACAATTACCACAACCAAACCACCTACATGCATCACAGTCCCGCCGGAACCGCTCGCTCCCGTTCGTGTTGTTCACGTCATCACCAGACCAACTTGTTGGCCACCGTCAGCGCATGTTTAGTACTGAGGAGGGTATGACTGTGTGCCTACTATCATACACAAACTGTATGACTGTGTGCCTACTATCATACACAAACTGTATGACTGTGTGCCTACTATCATACACAAACTGTATGACAGATAATATGCTAGGACCGGACTAAAACTGCTTCCGGCTGTCCTGTATCACATTGCTTTGCTGCTCGACTGGCTCCGTTGCCACAATGGCCTCTAGCACGAGACCTCACCAGGAAAGCCCCCCCCCCCCCCAACCACCAAGACCAAAAATTAATATTATAATAAATGAGAACAATGGCATTGGTTCACGAATGCACACAAGTCGGTGCTCATCGTGCAATTCAAGATGCTCACACTATGCACAAAGATCGTAGTCGTTGCATGTCGTGCACTTGAAGCGGGAACCCTTCACCTAGCCTATTGCGGCACCACCACCACAACCACCACCACCATCGTCTGAAAAACGTGTACACATATCTAGCTGTGAGGCATGCGACAAATGCACTTTTGGGTGAAAATTACCAAATTACCACCTTCAATAGCGGGACAGTCCCTTCAATAGCGGGACAGTCCCAGGCAACTCGCTGTGGCTGGCAGGTAAGACGCACGGTTGGAAATATCTGTTCGCCACTCCTACTTTTAACAAACTTTCTTTCTTTCCTCTCTTCATGAAGACTCACATTGTATTATAGGTCTTGTGGAGACAAAGTCGGATGCTCGAGTGCATGGTCTGGGCATCCAAGTCAATGGCAGCCACGCTCGTATCCTGGTTCAGCATTGACCCTATTTTTAGCCCTATCTCTTTCCACAGCCAATCACAGAACATCAGGTGGTAACAGTATTGAGATATCAACCGGAAGTAAGCCATCAGAATCATGATCATGATGCATACACATAATGTGCTGGACCTTGGACTTTCTCCATAGATCTAAACTGTATGGTAATAATACAGATTCTCACTCAATAGTGTTGATAGTCCCCAGCTGTAATACGGCATGCCAGCATGATTTCATGATTTCATATTGTACATAATTATACATCAACAGTGTCGCATATGTCCGCTGTGAATCAAAAGTATTTTCTGCCGGCTCAAAAATCAACATTCAATAAACTTTACCATGGCCGCATATGATGTCCAACTGTCATATCGCCTAGAACTAGTTGAAGTCACGCCAATTCTCTTCTCTCCAGTACACTCACGTGTATATATTTATAAGGCACATGTAGAGGATATAACCCGAGTCAGAGGGTTATACCGGCTGAATATAAATCCCGACTGCGATAGCAGGAGGGATTAATATGAGGGTACGGTATAACCCGACTACGAGGGTCATATCCTACTTATGCCAGGTACCCCTACGCATTTCCAGAACAACGAACCTATTTGGAGATCTCCTACATCATGCAGTACATGAACATCTTCTGATGGTTATCAGTTGTCAGTTGAAAGAATGGTCGAGCAAGGTCAGAAGGAGATTCCTCCGTGGATGTTTGGCATAAGATTTCCTTTCAGTACCAGTGCATATTGTAGCATCTTCATGATCTTGTCTTGAGTCGTGAGCGGTGCGGAAGTCGACTGAATTGCTGCGGTGCTGGAGTTTGTCGTTGAATCAAACTACCGTCACTAGTTAGATTACGGACTCTTTGGGAGTAAGTGTTACTATAATGATGGTACAGTGCTGATTTTCACATGCGGCATCTTATAATCAGTTTTGCTTGCAAGTAGATGCATTTGCATACACTGTTTTGTATCACATTTCAATCCAATCTATTGTAGCCTTTTCCAATCGGGTTGAAGTACATGTACACTGGTATTATAAACTTATTTACGAAGGAGACAGTATGTTGATTATCTTCAACTCTTCGAAGTACAATGTACATTGCTGACCCATTCGGGATACTTCGTGGTTATTCGACGTTCTTTATCCTCAGATTCAGTATAACAGAATACTCTGTAGACGAATTCCAGGTCATTCTTCTTTTCCATTGTGTACTGTTCCTCGTCAGTGTGCCGTTCTGTGTAGAGTGTATACGTGCATGTGGTGTCCGTTGTGTCTGTTTATGTATGGTCCGTGCGCTGGAGTACTAGTACTGCCGCCGTACAAGTAGTTCACTGCCTTTCAGGGAGTGAACATGTACGGTGGCAGTGCCCTAGCGTACGTACCGTGCACCGGGATTTATATTCTATATAAATCCCGCGCGGGATTTATACTGGCCAATATAACCATGGCTAGACGAGCGCTGATTGGCTGAAAACAGGCCCTACGTACCGTACCATGGTATAAGTACGTACATAACGCTGAGTGTGAGAGAAAACAGCCCATACACACTGTCATGTGTGTGCTAATGTACAAGGCATCCAGACACCTGAGTTGTCGTAATACCTTATAGCCGAAGACAGGGCAGCTCATACCGTACTCGTGCAAGTCTCAGTGGCTCAGTGCTGCCTGGTTCATAGCATGCCTGCCCGTGCAGAACTGACCTTGTGGCAACGCTGCTATCACAGCATACGGCAGACGTCAGCGGTGTGCAGTGCCGATTGCTGCCTGGAGTCGACACTGCTGCTATCACAGTATACCTCAGACGTCAGCGGTGTGCAGTGCCGATTGCTGCCTCGAGTCGACACTGCTCCCTTGCCGGGCCGATGCCTTTCGCCGCAGACTGTCCACCTCGGCCTTCAGCGAGTCATAGGAATAGATGAGATCAGGATAGGGCAGAGTGTTTGAAAGGCCTCGCATTGTCGTGTTAGGTGACGGGTTACCATACGATGGTGTGCTGCTATAGAGCAGTTGGATCTGATCGTCCTCTGGATGCCGATACTGATCGTCCGGTCCGTGCATTCGCCGTTCAGTCTGCAGTCGAACACCGTTGGAGGTGACGACCGTTGGCCGGCCGGGAGTTAGGGAACCCGGGTACATTGCGAGATTCTGTCCACTAGCGGTGCTGGTGGTTGTCCCCGACAGCACCGCACCTGCTCTGACAGCATGCACTGGGGACCGGTCAGTCGACAGAGGGCTGGGATTCAGAGGCCGACCCAGAGTATTGTTAGCAGAGCGTGTGGACGCGCGTTCCGACGTGCCACGTTGCAGTGCGTACTCTGACCCGTCTAGTGACACTTGACCCGCCGAGAGTCTGTTGCTCTTGTTTGCGCCGAGATGACTACTGAGTAGTATCGGCGTACCCGATTGGCTAGTAGTGGTCTGCGGCGGTGAATCACCGCGTAAGCTCAGTGCCTGCATGGGCGTCACCGTACAGAACACACTGTCTAGGTCGGTGGCGGCGTCCGACTGATTTGCCGTGGTGTCCGGTGTGCTGCCACCCTGCTGCTGCGGTTTCAGCGTGATCGGTCTACTCGGCGTGGAGCTAGGCGTGGGCTGCACAATGTAACTAGCGGACTCCTTTACGCTTTTCTTTTTCGGTGATGCCGTACACGACTCCGGTACGTAGCAATTGGGTAAGTCCTGCCACGCCACACTGCCTTTCTCTTTCTCCTTATCCTCCTGCGGTAATGTCACAATATTGATGGGAGTCGCCATCCTGCTGCTCTCGTCCGATGTTGAATTGCCCCGGTCGTGTTTGGCCTGGTACACGCAGCGCGAGACGACAACCACGACTAGTGATACGCACACGCACGCCACTACGATCGTCACGATGATTGTAATTTCCAGGCCGCCAATTTCATCCGCCACGATTTGTGGATCTGAATGATCGAGTACATAAAAGTGGAGTAGACAAAGGAGATAGTAAGAAGGCATTCACAATCTCAGAGAGGCCAGTGACGAGTTTCATGATAGATTCGCTTCAAATTGAAACATCGGACGGACTCGAGCCAAAAATTATCAGGTGATACCTGGGGACCTCTTGATTACGAATCAATCTGTTTATACTTTGTTGTGGCAATACCATTAAAATAATACTATGAATGCATGTGCAGGAGGAGCAATGAAGTTAGTTACTTCACTTACTCCAATCTTCACTGCAATAGCCTATGATATAGGATTCGGGCAGTTGTTTGGTTACAATTTTGTTCTCGCAACCTTCCCTTCACCGTTCTGATCTTTGATCATGTGGACCTGTCTATGTACGGGCTCGTTTCTTTGCCTTCTCAGCTAGTGTTGGAATCATATAAGGGGCAATGCTTAGAATAAATTATAATAATGTTGCCGGCTAAATCTGTTTTAATTTAATCCAAGTTTGCCTAATTTGCACACTCCATGCCCATGGCATGAAGCAATACTAACTGCGTGGGTCATGCATGCGCTTGCCAATATGCAATTAAATTATTTGCCATGTACATCTTTGGCCCGCGAAATCTCATGACATACTCGAATTTAGGGACCCTGGGAGCCCCAGTACAACTAAAACTGGCCAAAACAGTAATTGTCATATCACTTGGAATTTAGTTCTACACTGCATGCCCAGCTCTGCACACTTCACCTACTGCACCTACTGCAGTACATGTACAAGACTGTACACGCACTGTTGTGGACATTGAAGTCCGGTGGAATGGCCGCGGCCGGCGACCTTACGTGCTTAGCGCGTACATGTACTGTAACACTGTGAAAAAGGAGCAGCAGTGCAGTGCTCACACGAGAGCTGTGCACTTGGAAGTTGCACATGCACTGACCACGGATGCCTGCATCATGGCCATCCGTAGGATGATCGGCAGGCGTGGTCGACCTCGTCAGATTTGGTCTGACAATGGAACGAACCTCCGAGGAGCAGAACGAGAGCTGCGTGAGTCCCTGAACGACCTCGACCAAGACCAGCTCACCACCGACCTGGCGTTACTTCGCATCGAGTGGAGCTTCAACTCGCCATCTGCTCCGCACATGGGTGGAGCCTGGGAGCGCCTGGTTAGATCTGTGAAGTCCACCTTGCGGGTGATACTGCATGAGCGTGCTCCGAAGGACGAGGTACTGTTGACCCTCATGATTGAGGCAGAGAGTCTCGTCAACAGCCGACCACTGACTCACGTGCCAGTGGACCCCAACAATCCGGAGAGCCTCACACCTAACCACTTTCTGCTCGGCACATCCAGTAGCATACATATACAGCCACCCGGAGAGTTTACGGAGCGCGACCTGTGTTGTCGCAAGCAGTGGCGTCTATCGCAGATTCTAGCTGACATGTTCTGGCGACGTTGGCTGAAGGAGTATGCCCCCAGCCTCGGCACACGCAAGAAGTGGCGTGGCTTTGGTCAAGAAATCAGTGTGGGTGATGTAGTAATCATCGTGGACGATCAGCTGCCGAGGGGCTCCTGGCCCAGAGGTCTCGTCATTAGGGAGGTTTAGTTCCCACGTAACGGAAACGCGTACGTGGGTGATCCACGTAAAGTGGATGAAGGGCACCCACGTTGCAATGTTGTGTTTAGTCACACGGAACAAACAAAAGCATGAAGCTAAAGGCCAAAACCTGGTCAAAGACGAAGCTACCCCGGCCTAAGAAGCTCATCCAATATTTTGATTTCGTGCTTCGGAAACTTCTTCAGCTGAACACCCTCACAGCTCGCACAATGCGCTCCATTCTGATTTTCACCCACGTTCTGGCGGAACGTGGGTGAGCCTCCATACACGGTATGTCGTGAATCAGAAAACGTCTGTACGTGGGTCACTGAGTATATATCACGTGGTACACCCACGTAAAGTTTAAGTACCCACGGATTACGTGGGACTAAACCTCCCTACAGTACTGCCGTGTTTCCCGGGCGTGATGGGAAAGTCCGAGTTGCAGACGTGAAGACGGCAACCGGCACCTTCCGCCGACCAGTAGTCAAGTTGTGCCGCCTGAATGTCCTCAGCAGTGCAGCTTAGTAATCAGGCTTGTGAGTATGCCTGTTACCGGGGGGAGAGTGTTCCTGCCGTGATGGTTGAACTTGTGAACAAGATCGACATTGTTTTGAATTTGTTGTGTACTTTGTCTTTGCTATTTTCTAGTGTTGAAACGAATAATCGAATAATCGAATAATTTAGAATATTCGTGGGGTGAACGAATAATCGAATAGTCGTAGGAATTATCAGAAATCGAAAAAAAAAAAAAAAAAAAAAAAAAAAAAAAGATCTATGCTCAGTGCTGACCCCACTGATAACCGTTACTTGCACTGCGTAGATCTGCTCGTAGTATTTCTTCTCAAACTCTTCTCCTCCAAGTTTTAATCTCCTATCGGTATCTAGTAATACTTCTGTTCTTTCCATACGAGGGAAACATGGATCCACTGAATGTGATTTTCGGTCTTTGACCACTTTCGACCAAGACCCTATGCAGAGCTGTATCAGGCGTTGCACACTCTGGGGGGTTATGTGCTCTTGGCGGTACAGGCTAGCCGGTTTTGCACCTCCACATACCGTATATTCTCTATTATAAGCACAGGTCTCCATTACGAGCACAGTCTCTAATACTAGCACACTGTGAGCACCTTTCGAAACATTATAAGCACAGTCTCTATTATTAGCACGGCCTTGGTGGAAATCAATGCTGCATGCATGATATCCAGCATGTATTTCTTCTTGCTCTCTATGGATGTATTGGTTGAAAATATATAAGCACGGTCTCCAATATAAGCGCGGTCTCCAATATAAGCACGGGGTAGAGGGGTGTTGAAAATATATAAGCACGGCGCTTATAATAGAGAATATACGGTAACAAAATCCGATAATCAGCAAAACAAATTTTTTTCAACTACTTTAAAAGTGCTGAAAAAGTGTTGAAAAATGCCATCATGTGTATGATAGAATATAGATTATTCGTTCGATGGAGGGCGAAATTATTCGATAGATTATTCGTTCGAAGAATCCGTGTTCGGTTTAAACACTACTATTTTCGTTCTGTCTATTCTCTCACCTTTCTTCTCTCTCACGTCTTCTGTAGAACTGCTTTCCAGTCTGTCTCTCTCTTCTCTCTACTCTTCATCATAAGAACGTTTCTCTTCTCCAAGTTCGTTCTTGTACTTCTCTAAACTTCTCTACTCTCTTTTCTCTTCGTTTGAATTTCCTTGAACATGACGTGAACATGTGTTTTTTGCGCTTTGAACTGTCTTGATTTTCTTTTATGTTTTGTTGCCAAATGTACAGTGAACTGTGCGCTGTGTGTGTACAATGCTGTGCGGCTAGCGATGCGCTTTCTTTGGTACAGGCTTTTTCTGTTGTGTCCGTGATTCTATGGCTTTCGCTTTCTTGCAGTTTTCACCGCTTCGCTGCAATAGTTGCTGTTTCCTTGAAGGCGAACTGCGATGCCTCCATTTTTCCTAGATGGTCTTGCTTGGTGCGCGAGGTGCTGAGCGGACCTCGTGGCTTTTTTGTTTAGTTTCTTTTTCAGAGTTTTTCAGTTTTCAGATTTGTTGTTGTTTGTGAATACACTTTATACAGTCTTCAAGCGAGCAGTAGTTTTCGATGTGTGGTCGTGACTTGGGTTGTCCGTATTGCCCTGAACACACTACTTAGAGCCTCCTGGTCGTCGCAATCTGATACATAATACCTCCATCTCTGGGTGATGCACTGGTGTCCATCCGCACCCAGAAGCGTCTTGCCACCTCCCAATCTCGGGATGCACTGCGGGCTGAAGTCACGATGATTACTGCTACCCTTGATGCCGACCAGCAGCGTGTCATCCAACTTGCCTCTGAGAAGGGTGCTTCAAGTTGGCTGACCTGTAGGCCCCTTGCACGTCATGGCTTCTCTCTCAGTAAGGGTGAATTCCGCGACGGGGTGTACCTCCGGTACAATTGGTTGCCAGACCGTCTGCCGTCAGATTGCTCCTGTGGTGCCAGGTTCACTACCTGCCATGCACTTTCCTGTCCGACGGGTGGATTTCCATCCATCCGTCACAACGAAGTGCGTGACATCACGGAAAGTCTGCTGAAGAAGGTTGCCCACAATGTCGCCGTGGAACCTCACCTCCAGCCTGTCACAGGAGAGCAGTTTCGCTATCGCTCAGCTATTGTGGAAGAGCAGGCTCGTCTGGATGTAGCTGCCAGTGGCCTTTGGGGTGGCCGGTTTGAGCACACTTTCGTTGATGTCAGGGTGTTTAACCCGTATGCGTCCTCAAACCGGGCCACCTCACTGGCCTCAACCTACACTCGGCAGGAGAAGGAGAAACGCCGGGCGCACGAGCAGCGTATCCGCGACGTGGAACATGCTTCATTTGTGCCAGCTGTGTTTGCCACAACAGGTGGAATGAGTCGCCACTGTACAGCTTTGTATAAGCGTATTGCGTGCCTGCTAGCAGAGAAGTGCAAGGAGCCGTACAGTGTGGTGATGGCATGGGTCCGCTGCCGCCTAAGCTTTGCGCTCCTCCGGGCGAGCGTCATAGTCCAGCGGCCCAAACTTCGAAAAAAAAATTCCGTTTCAGTCTCAAGCAGACAACCTGGGTTCTTCACTACGGCCTAAAGTATGCATACCTGACCTGGATTCCGCTTGTTGTCATCTTCAGAGTTAGGGCAGAAGCTCAGGAGAAGCCAATTTCTCCGCTCTCGTCGGCGATACTGCGCACCATCTGGGGGTGCACAGTTCACGGAAAGGAGCGCCTTTTTCAAATTTTTGAAGATGACGACGACACCGACAGGATGCTCTTTGAAATGTAGAATTGCATTTTCGTTTGGTAGTTGCATAGTAGTTGCATTTCGCGCTGTTTGAGTGCCTCCTGCCCACCGCTCACAGCATAGTAGACACCTTTTGACATGATGGAGGAAGAGGCCGTGGAGCTTCTTAGGCCTCGTCCTGGGAATGGCGTTGTATCGCGGGAATTTTGCTTGTGCCATTGCGTTCAATGCATCGCAGGAAAAGCAAACCCGATTTACTTTGCAGAGTTGGGAAACTTTGTTTGAAGCTGCTAAATGCAGGCTGGACGAGCTATACCTTCTTGTGCGAGAGCCACTGTACCGAGGAGAGCGTCTGCGGATGGTACCACCGCAAGTGCTACAGTACATACACTAACAAAACGTTGCTGGGTCGGCTGCCACTTGGACGTGGCCATGACTTTTCAAGCCATTCTGATTCTGAATTGGAGGAGTTACATGTATGTGATGATGGGACACCATGTACCAGCAAAGCGTAGAACAAGGAGAGATGTACAATGATTGAATCCACGTCTGCAGACTTGTGCCTCATGACATATGCATCTAGCAGAGTTGGAGAACAACGCAAGAATTTTGGCTTTCGCTCCAGAATGGCCCAGATTGCGCTGCAGCGGAAATCCACTATCAACGTCGGAGCATGCTACAGTGCCTTCACCCACCTGGCCACTATGCACCGGCAACGAAGTGGCAAAGGGAGTGACCAGCCGTCAGCCTACGAAACATTTGACAGCCTGGTGCTGTATATACAGTCCGAGTTGAAGTCTGCCAGGGCCTTGCCCATGCAGCTTCTCACGGATAAGTACAATAACTGCAAACGGCACCAGCTTGGCCGACCATCACACTCCGCCTTAGTATCCAACTTTCATGCTGAAAAAGAAGATAATGAGCTACTTGGGGACCAGGTGAGTTCTTGGCATTGTTGAATGTGTAGAAATAATTTGATCATGTTCTATTGTTTGATCATGACCAAGGAAATCCAAATAACACATACGCTCAACTACTTGTACAAGTACAAGATCACATGATCGCATGTACACACCAGATCATGAGTCCAGACGCAACTCATGCACAGCAACTAAAAACCGCTAAGTTCATTTCAAACGCGCGCTCGGGAAACGGCACATGCTGCATGCATAACATAACACGACGCGCTTCTATCATGAATGTCTGGGTGGCCAAGGAATGCCACAATGTGTATGTAGACGTGAACACTACAGTGCCTGACATCTACAACATAGGAATGTATTAAATGGAATGCAAGTGTTCATGCTCATGTAATGTGGTAGTCTTCTTTGGTTGAATTACGTTCGTGGCTGTTACACGTATTATTACGACCAGCTTGGCTCTCGCGCTACTTCACACGGTACACATGTAAGTCAGAATAAATCAGGGCTTGTGGTCCGAGTCAGAGTAATGTCCAAAGCTGACGTCAGTATTCTAGGCTGACTTTATGCAAGAAGAGACAGAATTATAAACTGGTTGTTTTCTAAACACAATTGTATAGCCCGTGATAACGCGGACATGCGAACTTGACATGTTTAAGGATCGAATTTCATTGGCGTGTTTCATTTGCGTTTTGTGTTTGAATTGTGTGTTTCCTTCAGCAATTGACATGTATGGTAAATGGCATGGGTATACAGGCGCACTCTTCATGGAGCAACCACTTGTCTGTATCGTCTGCAAACGGTCCGATGGCCGGTAATACCCAGTCATTGCCGAACAGTCATACTAGTAACGCACCTGGCCCAACTCCAACCATCCCAGTCCAGCCGGTCACCGCAGATTTCCTGCCCGCATCCACGTCCACTCCGCACCCCAGTGTCCGGCAAGAGAACGGGCCCAATGCCAGGAGTTACGACGGGCCCACTGCCAGGAATTGCAATAGGCTCACTGCCAGGAGTTACGATAGGCCCGCTGCGATATCCGCTGGGCTTGTCCCCGCCAATGTCGTGTTGCCCACTCATTTCAGCTTCAAAGGATCCGCTACTCCGCCACGTCAGGTGAACACCAGTGGATCAATTTCATCTCTGGGTACTACATCAGCCTCCAGTACAGATGTGTCGGCTAGTACGGCTTTGACTACAACCTCGGGTGCGAGGCAACCAGTGGTGGCTGCGGTGTCTTCTACAGCGCCATCTCAACCACGGTCGCAGCAGGTTCTTGCTGATCTCTAGCGTGCTATGTGGTGTGTGTGCGCGCGCGGATGCACACACACAATGCCATGTGTTGTGCGGTGTGTGCGTGCGTGTGGGGTTGTGTATGTGTGTGTGAGTGCGCGCGCACAATGCCGGCAGCATAGTGATGGCATGCATGGTGTACATGCCAAATCTCATTGACATCGTGATGCACTATCTGGACTTGTACGACACGTATGGGTGGCTGACCTGGCACGGAAATGTCATTCCGGAGTCCGAGATTTGGCTAAAGCTTGGCGGTGACCACGGCGGCCATTCCTTCAAGTTTGTATTCCAGGTAGCAAACCTGAAGCATCCGAACTCGCTGAACAACACCATTCCTCTGTGCGTGTTTGACTGCCCAGACAGCCCTGCCAACCTCCAGATCGCACTTGGAGTGTATGCAGACCAGGTGAAGGAGCTGCAAAGTACTATCAAGTGGAAAGGCAAGTCATTTGTGCTATTCTTCTTTGGTGACTATGATTACCAGACTAAGTGCTATGGTTTGTCTGGCTCGAGTGGCTATCGCCCATGTCTCCATTGCCTTTGTCCGAAGAAGCAGATGGAGCACCCGGCAGACAAGCGTGATGCAGGAGATCATCAGGGCAGAACACTGGAGACAATAGCAGTGGATCATGCCAACTTTATCGCCTCTGGAGCAAATCTTTCGCAAGCCAAGCACCACAACAATGCCATCCGCCCAGTTATCTTGCCAATTCCCGTCAGCAACGTTGTTATTCCGTCTTTACATCTGGATCTCGGCATTTTCGCATGGCTGTATGACATCTACCTAGCTGAAGTCAAACAACTGGACGTGAAACTGGCAGCAGCAACTCTCCAGCCGTGTGCAGATGATCAGCTCCAGTTTCAAGAGCTAACAGTTCTCAGCGACAAAGTTCGGTCCGCCAGGCAAGCTATGGAGGATGCCCAGGCGAAGAGCGATGAACTACAGCAGCAGCTCCAATACGCAGTGCTCTTGCAGCAACACGCACCGACCAGCTTTCCCAACGTCAACATGGACACTGTAGCTGCAGCAATACAGCAACTGTGGAAAGCCGCCAGCGACGCCTTCACTGCTGCAAGTGCTGAGCACAGCAAACTCGTACAAGACTTAGACGAGATGAGAAAGAACAAGAAAGTCACAGGACCATGCGCGTCAAGTCTCGAGTCTGTGCTCCAAGCACACAATGTTGATCGGCAAGCCTACCATGGCGGTGCCTTCGTGGGCAACCATGTACATCGCACACTGCAGCCTGCCGTACTAAGAGCACTGATGTCTGCTCCAGTTGAGGTGGTTTCCACTCGTTGCCAGCAGCTCGTTGCTGATGCAGAAATTTTGCAGCAGCGGTACCATGGATTGTTTTCGGGATATGCCGACTGCAGCCACCGTTTCAGCCATTGCAACAGCATGTCAGAGGCCGACATCTCAAAGCTGGCTGACTGCATCCAGCTGTTTCTTCACAAATGCAGAGAATCCATTATCACCCGGCAGCTCGGCAACATAACTCCGAAACTACATCTCTTGGAGGAGCACACAGTCCCGTTC